GGCGCATGCGCGCTGCCTCCCTCCCTCTCCCCCCGCCTCGCGCTGGCCGTTAGCGCGGGCTCACCTCAGCCGCTCCCGCCGGGGGACCCGGGCTGGGGAGAGCTCCAGGTGTGCTCCGGTACCGAAAAAACACCGTCCGTGCCCTTGGTACCGGCTGGGGAGAGCTCCCGGTCTGCTCCGGTACCGAAAAAACACCGTCCGTGCCCTTGGTACCGGCTGGGGAGAGCTCCCGGTCTGCTCCGGTACCGAAAAAACACCGTCCGTGCCCTTGGTACCGGCTGAGGTGGGATGCTCAGGCATCATGAGAGATCTCACCCCCTCCTCACGCCCTGGCCAGACACAGCAGCCCCGTCCATCCACAGCAAGCTCACCTTGCGGTGATTTTTCAAATCCCTCTGCATGAGAGGTGCATCAATGAGTTTGGGTGGTTTTTTAACTTTGTTTGAATGTGTCCTCTTTGGTGGCTAGTGTGGCTCTTGTCACTTCTGCTTGTCCCTCCATGGATCGGCATCCACTGCCTTCACACAGGACGAGACTGAGGCAGGTGGGTTACTCCTGGTAGCTGTGGAGGCTGCAGATCTGATCTGATCCAGAACTCCCTTTTTCATCTAACACGTTATGCTGGTAGAGACAAGTTGGATATGTAGGGTGGAAAACCAAACTTTGCTGTTCAAAGCATCCTGGCACTCTGCTTGCACTAGGGTGGTGGCAGATCAAAATTTGTGATACTACCTTTTTGGCATTAGCTTTCCTCTTATATAGGAAATAGCTTTTTTTTTCTTGCCGTGGAAAGAAACCTGTCCACACTTTCATATTTGCTCCTCCATCTTAAGGACAGCAGGCAGTGAAGCATCAGATCTTCAGAAAGGATAACGGGACAGATCATCCTCAAATGCAGCTGCATGGATTTGTCACCACACTTACATTTCTTTTCCCTTCTGTATTTCTGAAGGCAATTGACCCCTTGCTATCAGACAATCCTTGCATTCCTAAGCAGAAATTAAATGAGCAAACACCTCGCAGGCTTCAGACACCAGCCCAGGCTGTTCGTTCTCCCATCGGACACCACAGGATATGGTGGAACGCTAGTATCAGTGCCAGTGAAACCGTCCTCGAGCTGCATGCACTGCTCCTATGGTGACTAAAGCTTTACACAGAAGAGAAGAAATGACGTAAGTAATGTTTTGGAAGAAAAAAAGTGGAAGACAGGGAAATGGAACCTCAACTTTCAATGTTTGAAGAACGTCACCTCTCCACTACGCGATGTTAAGTACTGAAAACAACAGGACAGCTTATGTGAAAAGAAGGCAGCAAGCGCTAAGCATACAGGTTAGCTTAGCTGTAATTCACTATTGCACATCAGCTAGAAGGGGCAGCTCTTCCAGAAGTCTCTTGACCATGTATTGATGTGAAACAAAAGTGAAAATATCATAATTAGGAACAATTCTTTAGATGGGTTTTGGGGAGATGGGTTATGTGGTTTACCAATGAGCTCCCTGAACTGCAGCTTGCTGTGGGACAGCTTCATAACATGGCCTGCAGGAATGCAGGTTTGTGCAGCTCCAGGTGGCAGAGTTGCAGCACAGGAGCAGAAAAACCTTTGGGAGCAGAATCGTTGAAATCATGATTGCAGTCATGCCCCTCACATCTTGGGATCCCAGTGAGGAAGCATAAAAAATAAGGGAGAGGGGGAAGAATTGAAGAGAGAAGGCAGGCAGGAAGAAGGGAATGAAGGAAGTCCTACCTCCATGAACACTACACACACCCTGATGTTTTGTGAAAGCTCCCAGAAGACAATAAAACGAATGCAGAATCTGATTTTCATGATTGTAGGGATTAAGGAAAATGTTTGTATTTCAGTTACATCAAAGATAATGATCTTGGTCTTTCTCCCTTGTTAACCATAGTTTTCTGCTGTTAGGGCTAACTCTCTTAGGTAGCATGGAATAGGATCAATCTGGAGCTTGACAGGGAAAAATATGAAATCAGATTTCATCTGGTGGGAACTGAGAGACATTTGATGTGCCATGTAAGAACCACGAGACTGCAAGGACATGGGAAGTGCTACTCTGGCCCTACACCTGGAACCCTCACATAAGCTGTCATTTTTCTTTCTTCCAAATTTAGAGCCCCCTCTGACCCTAACCTGAGGTGTCTTTTGAGACTGTAGAGTAACCTGCACTCTGAATCAAATGATTTGGCTCTCTTGGACAGAGGAGGATCTGGCTTTAGCCTAGTTTCCTAAAGAAACAAGACTTAGTCATACCCCCTCTGTTCCCAAACCTTTGTGAACTTTGGACCTGCTGGCCACCTTCAGTCAGGTTTGACATACAAACACAAATGCTGCAATTCCCTGGACAGCTGAGCAAGTAGTTCACATCCTTCCAGGAATGCCGTCAATGCCAGATATGGCATAATGTTTGGCCCCACAAAGAAAGACTATGACCACACGCACTCCAAGACTAGCTGATGAAGATTTGAGAAGCTTGTTTTAGGACACAGCTGGGCATGCAAACACCAGAGGCGGCAATGGCAGTGCTTAGAACAGGAGCAGATGATTTGTAAACCCTGAGCTTCACCTCACATGGAGACCCTGAGTTCAGCAGAGAGATGTAATTGGGGAGTAAATGGGGTGCCGACATAATCACCCTACAGGCAGTTTTAGCCCTTGCATAGCTCCACAGCAGTGGAACAGTTGGATTGTCTTGATGAAGCACCTGATCAGGAAAGGCAGAGGGTTTTATATGTAACCTTAAGGCAGCCTTAAAGGAAGACAAAGCAGTGCGTAGTGCCTGAGCTTGACTGAACAGAGCTGGTGGTACTAATGTATCATCAAGGATATTTAGAAACAGACAAACCTGCAGCAATCCCACAGGATGCTGATGGCACCCTAGGGAGGAGAAGGACAGGGGCATAGGTAGAGCTAACTCACAAGAAAATAAACAGATTGGGGCAGTGCTCTTTATGGCTTCAAAATCAAAACAGTTTAAAATATGGTGAACAAATCTGCACCAAGTCTTCACTGCTGGGTACATTCAGAAGTTTTATTTATCTTTTCATAATCACATCTAGTCCCATGGAATGAGTCCTTATGAAGCAATTTTCCCCAAATTTCCTCTTTTAAAAAGATTTAGCTTTGATCAAGTCTTTAGTAATGCTTTACTTGTGAATCCAACCATTCAAAATACAAAAATTCAAGGTGACAGGTGAAAAATCTGTATACAATTACAAAATATAACAAATTTTAGTTAAGAAAATTGAGTACATCTCCATGATGCACTCCTATATTCAACTCCAGAAAAATAAAGATGAAGTTGGGGGCTTCTCCAATTTTCATATGTTTCAAACCAACCTGAAGAAGCAGCAGAGTCCTTGGTCCACACAACCAAACAGTAACAGAAACCTGCACCCAGGTGTGGCAGTGCTCTACTTAACTCTGCAGCTTTGCTATTTCTTTTTGAACTCTCCATGATTTCACTCCATCTGTACACTTTTTGGTACAAACCAGATCAATTACTTCCAGCTGCCAAGTTGCAGTTACCTGTTTGCAGGCAGCATAACAGAGCACCACTACAGTAGTGAACCATATCTCTCTGGTGAAGGGCAGCCTCTGGACTACCTGACTCTTCAGCACAGGAGAGTATCACTGAATCATGCAATTTTCTTTACAGAATATAACTAGGCAACACTTGGGCATTTAACTACCACTTTATCAAACATCATCAAATAGAGAGGCAAAAAGCTCCTTATCAAAATCACAATCCTCATATAAAAACATCCCTGGCCTTACTATAGGCTGCAAGTGTTCCCCCTGCCCCCAAACACTCCAACCCAGAAATAATTCCTTGCAAGAAAGAACACTTCCAGAGATACAGAGAATGATAAAGACAACCACATATCCAGACATCTAAATTTCAGAGACCATTTTGAAAGGCAGCAAAGTGAGTATATTCCGTAATGAATTGTTACAAAGAACTTTCTCTAGCATGTAAAAAAGAAGCATCCTTTGCTCAAGTTAATTATTTTAAGTGAGAAATTTTAGTCAAGCTAGAACATGGTTCCTGGTCACCTTAATACAGATTCAACTGAGTCTTAACAGCCATTTTAGTTTTGATACATTCTGGTGGGACACCTATCAAGATTGATCAGGCTTGACGCTCATTCCCTGAAAACAGCTCACCGCCCTGCTCACCTCAAAACAGCTGGCAGCTGCAAGTCCCTGTTACAGAATGCACATTTTCCTCAGCTGTATCGCTCTTCAGTGGTTTGTTGCCAGAATCCCTGAGAAAATGTCTTCACTCCAAGGAGAGAAGGCAATTCAGAAAATATAGAAAAAGTCAGAGAATTGTAACACATCAGTTTTGTTACAGAAAGGATACTGCAAAACAACTGTGTGTTATGAAATTGACCTGCAGTTTCATTGAAGGAAGCCAATACAAAACTTCAATTAAGCAGGGCAAGGGGAACCTGATTTTCATGTACTTACAAGATTAATTTTTCAAAGCTGCATTTTAGAGTACATACCATGCTGCCTTATCCTTTCCCCTTCCTCACCAGGTCTTTGTTTCATATCAAACTCACAAGACATCCTCAGACCTCTGTGGCATTTGGAAATTGATCTGGGAGCAAGTGAGCACCACCCTGAAACCTGCTGCTAACCACTAAAGCACTCAACAGCCACCTGGTAGGCACTTTTGTAAAGATCAAGATTGAAAAACATTGTTTTCTTTCTACTGTTGCAATTAATTTTACTCAAATCTCCTTTCCTCTGTCTGTAGCAGCACCTAACCTTCCTGTGACAAGGCAGTTCGGCCTTGTTTTGCAGACCTGACCAGAAACTGGTCTTTCTGAAAAGCACTATCCCTTGGAAGTCTAGCACCATAGCTCCATCAGGTGCCTAAACCCCTCCTCATCCAGAAATCTACTCATCTGCTGCTGAAATGAGGTCTGACACACAGCAATGCCACACACTGCTGGTGCTCCACTGCACCAGTCCAGCAGCCTTCTGACACTGCAGTGAGCACAGCTAACACCACAGGTCAGGTTTAGTGTTGTTGCCAAGCTTTCCTGGGTTGCAGTGCTGGACGGTGAACTTCTCTATGGCTTTTATTGACATCTGTTCGCAGATGCGTATCTGAAAATTGCATCCCCGTGAAGCCGGGTATGACAGTGTCTACAGAGGTAAGTCTGATGCCCTGCTTATTGCTAGACACCCAGGGCTGAAAGTCGGCCTGGTTATAGCCATCTTCATTTGAGTGCTGGAGAAGACCTCGGTATGCAGAATCTGAAAGTGGAAATGTGCGAGGCTCCCAAGGCTGTATGTTCTGTGGAGCGAAGAGGAGAGAAATTAAAAGCCTAGAATCAAGTACTCAAAGAACGCTACAATTCCCATTTCCTCCCTGTCCATGCCAATCTGCTGAAAGACCAGCAGATTCAATTTGTCAGGATGCCAAAGCAAAGCCAACTTTTCAGAGCAATGAACACTGTGCGCTATTCACACTACTTCCAGGATTACCAGTTCAGCTTTCCATTGGTATCAAGAGCCTGCTTTGCCATCTCCACTGACATTCCTTGTTTTTCATAGTCTTTTTATCTGAAAAGGCTTTCAAAGCAAACACTGTGCCCTTGAGCCCAAACCAAGGACAGATCTAGTACGAAGTACAAGACTGTGCTTCTAAGACTTTGTAAGACCATCCCTAAGGAAGAGGGGAAGGAACTCTTCTGGTAGTTCCAGAATTTAATCCTTAAAGTTAACTCCTTCTGCCAAAAAGCATCCCATGATGTGTGCAACTGTCTGAAACTATTCACTGTCATGTAGGTGGCTCAGTCCAACCTACTGGGAATAATCTCAAACTCTGCATCAATATTGGTTTAGAATGATTTAAACTACAACACAAAAAAAGAATAATTTAACACACTGTGAATGCTTTAACCAGCCCAAGTCTCAGCAGACACACAAGCTGAACTGTCTTTTGAACAGTGTGAAGCTCATATAGCTTTCAGAAAACTTACTTTATATACCAGTAAAATTGGTTTAGAAAAGAACACAGCTGACATTTGTTACAGCATAACCTCACCTGCACTGCTTCATCCAGCATTTCCAGGGATGATCTGGTACCTTCACTGCAAGACAGCACTGTTCTGGTCTGACTGTGGACAGAGAGGGATTGCAAACTGTTGCAAGTCTCAGGGCTGCACAAGCCAGTAGAAGCATGCACATACAGATGATTAAGGCCATTAAATCCAGTAACTGGAGATGCTGGCTGAGGCTGCCCAGCCCATCGGCTGTCTGCTTTGTTGGAGGACCTAAAGCAAAGTAGTATTTGGAGCACAGTCAGTTATGTACAGCAAGAAACGCAAATAAAAGTAAGATCACTGTACAGTGAAAAATGTAAGCTTTATCCCCTCCATACAAGGAGATGAGATCATATTGCCCAATTAGTGCTTTAACTAAGTAGCCCTTTTGCTCCTATCATCTCTTCAAAGAACATTTCATGACTTCTTGGGCAATCGCTGTCCATTTCACTCATCCTGAGCCTGAAGAGAACAACTAAGCATTAAGAGAGAGTAAAACCTCATGAAAAGAAATAAGACAAAACCCCAAAAAACCCACACCAGCTACGAGAGACAAAACTGCTATAGCTGAAGCTGTCTGGAGGTATGCCAACATTCTTCCCCAGTGTAACCACGCTATTTTGGCCTTTTTCCAGACATATGGATTACTAACTGTATGACCTGTCAGTCCCCCTCCCCACTCAACTGCTCAACAACTCGTGAAAATATCAGACAATTTCAGCTCTGATAGAGACAGGGATCTCAAATATGAAACAGATCATTTCAAAAAAGAACAGATCATTCTTTGTCCAGGCAACAGGTAAAAAGATAAGGGAGATGCAGCAAATGAACAGAAAGCAATCTCCATAGCAGTAAGTTCTGTCAAACTGTTAAGTAAACCAGAGGAAAAAATGGTTGGGAAAAGTATGCAGTACTACAGTTAACACAAAGCTCTCAACATATGAGCCTGAGCTTAGTATGAAGCTGATTTTTAACAGGACTGTGACATGCTGCATTACTATTCTGCTAATTAGGCCCTATTTTAGCAATATTTTGTTTTTATTATGTAATAGACTAATTCTATGAGCAAAATGATGAGCAACTAAGGATTTCTTCATTCAAAAGTAACTTCTTGAATTGGGATCTCTGTACAATTTAAAATTAAGAACAAATAAAGCCACCTTATTCTGTGTCTGCTAGCAAGAACAGTACCTGCTTCCCCGCTTATGGGAAGTAGCTGTGGCCCAGGAATCCCAGCAGGCTCGTTCAAGATCTTCATATTTGGAGTGATGGCTGGAGTACATCTTCTCAGAAGTATCCTCCAACTAGGAAGAGAAGTTTTAGCCAAATACTTAAAGCATGAAAACTTGCCTGCAGGCCAAGCCTACTGTTTTAAAAATCCAGGTAAGCAATATTCAACCCATTCAAACCATCTGGGAACCAGCACACACACTTTGTATCACTACCTCATTTTCCTACTTTTCATTATGTACTGAACCAGGAACTCGTTTGTCAGCCCGAGTTGTCAGGAGACAGATGCAGGCTGTTGTATGCACCGTATAAATAGCTGCCAGGGGCATTAAATCACACACAATGGAAGGGTTTGTTCTGCCTGCAGCTAGCATCGGTGACCCACAGCTGACATTCCTAACAGCTGACATGCCACCACAAGCCTCATCTCTGCTGCCCTTCCACTGGCTTCAGACGCAGCTGCGTCAGGCAGAATGGAAGAGCATTTCATACAGCAGCTTTGCTTACTGGGCTGGCAGAATTTATTAACTGGGCAAGACTGGCTCTAGCGCTCCCAGTGTACCATTGGCACCTTCTCAGAATGGCTACAGACATTTGAGACAAACTGACAAAACTGTTTTCTTACCTCAGAGTCTGCTTGATTGAAAGGCTCCAGTTCCTTAAGCTCCACTATCCTCCAGCTGCAAGAGGTAACACAAGCTAAAGATCACTTCAAAGAAAAACACATTTGGTACTAACATTTAAGTCCAAACAATACTAATACTTTTTTTTAATTAAATGCCTTTTTTTGTCCATTAGGAATAATTTCCTTATATTATTTCACTGAGGGGAACAGTGCTCATTCTGGCCAACTAAAGCCATTTCCTCCTGTCACCCACAGGAGAGAGGATCAATAAGGCCTGGTCTGTAGGTACCTTGGTACTACGATCTCTTTGTACTGAGGCTTCTCCACTCGAGTGGCAGCTACCATTGACATGGGGATCACAATGTTGTCAATGTCGTAGGAACACACTGCTTTTCTGCTTTTTGAGGACTGCTGAAACACAGAACAAGGAGAACACCCCACGCAGAAAATTAATGTTGGCACAAAAGCATATTTGAACGTACCACAGAATACAACTTCTCTGTAACAGCAAGTACAGTGGGTTCTTTCCACTGTCACTGGCATTCAATGATATTTTGGTCATGTCATGCAACCTCTGGTTCAGTTTATTCCTATATGAAACAGGATAATACTTACCTACCTCAGTGGGTGGGATTTCACTTATAACTTTGTATATATTTCGGTCATCCCTGTAGCAAAAAAATTGAAACAGGCAAAGAAAAAGGCTATGATGATGATTCAAGTAGTAAGAACCTGTCATTCCCTAGACTAAAGGAGCTGTACTTGTTTTGCCTTGCAAAATAAGGTCTGAGAAGGAAAAAGTAAAAAAAAGTAAAACCATAGAAGAACTCTACTTTCTTGAGGCTGAGGATACCGCTGTTGAGACAACAACTCGAAATATCACAGCATTTGGGCTGGAAGTCACAAGTATTTCCAAACTAAGGAGCAAGGCTCTGGAAAAACATCCTAGGAACAGTGGGATGAAGAGACCCCTAAATTATTTTGAGATGCATTTTGATCATTTTGTGAAGAGATCCATATATTGTGGTTCCCTGCAGAGCTGGAGATTAGACCTGCAATCCAGAATGGAAGTGTCCCCTTTATTTATAAGCCAAAAAGTCTTCAAGACACTACAGTTCTTTTGTTCTTTCTCAAACAAGCATCCTTTTGTTTCTAGGTGAGAGGCCAACCACAAATTGCAGTTCTTGGTGGCCACAAGGTTAGCTATGGTTTATTACTGATGTGATATTCTTTAAAAACCTTAATAGACACAGGATTACTCAGAAGCACCCTTAGAAATCTGGAAGCGGAGACTGTACCTGAAAGAGCAGCTTACAAGAGAAGCAGCCAACTCACAAGTTGAACTGTTAAATCTTCTGTGCACCAAAGAGGGAGAACAGCACTTGCAAAGAAAGCACTAACTATGTGGGAGCCATAAAACCAGAAAAATGAGTAGCCGATGGAAGTGAAATGGGTATAACAAGGACTGCAGGCTCTGTGGAGGAGCTCACTACCCCTTTTTACAGGAGTCATAGAATCATTTAGCCCAGTGAAGATCCACAAGGACTGTGCTGGTCTCCATGAGATGGACCTGAAGTACAAAACAGTCAAACGTAGAAAAAGCTTCTTAGAATCACAGAACCACTGAAGTTTGAAAAGACCTTTAGGATCATCAGGTCCCACCATTAACTTAACACTGCCAGATCCACCACTAAACCATGTCCCTAAGTGCCACACCTACACGTCTATTTAAATATACCCCCAGGGATAGCGACTCAATCCCTTCCCTGGGCAACCTGTTCCAGTGCTTGACAGCCCTTTCAGTGAAGAAATTTTTCCTAATCTCCAATCTAAACCTCCCCAGGCACAACTTGAGGCCGTTTCCTCTTATCCCACCACTTGTTACTTGGGAGAAGCGACCGACCCCCACCTCACTACAACCTCCTTTCAGGTAGCTGTAGAGAGCGCTAAGGTCTCCCCTCAGCCTCCTTTTCTCCAGGCTAAACAACCCCAGTTCCCTCAGCCGCTCCTCATAAGACTTGTGCTCTAGACCCTTCAACAGCTTCGTTGCCCTTCTCTGGACATGCTCCAGCACCTCAACGTCTTTCCTGTAGTGAGGGGCCCCAAACTGAACACAGTATTTGAGGTGCAGCCTCACTAGTGTCGAGTACAGGGGGATGATCACTGCTCTAGTCCTGCTGGCCACACTATTTCAGATACAAGCCAGGATGCTGTTGGCCTTCTTGGCCACCTGGGCACACTGCTGGCCCATATTCAGCCAAGCTGTCAACCGACACCCTCAGGTCCTTTTCCACCAGGCAGCTTTCCAGCCACTCTTCCCCAAGGTCTGTTTCTGTCAATTAGACCTAACAGTTACCTATAAGCAAAAAGAAGGGAATAGTGGTAACAGTAGCAAGTCTGAGCCACGTTCTTCAAGGTCACCTTTGCTCAACATGCTTGGAGAGCCAGGAATTACTCAGTGCCTTCCTAGAGAAGGGGTTGTTGCACAGCATATTTTTTAATCCTCCGCTACCTCTAGAAAAACAAGAAAATGTTAAAGATCACCTCTTTGCTGATATTCCTGCTTCATGGGGGGAAGTCTGTAGCAATTAAAAGTCTCTACTATTAATTTGTAGCCAAATAAAACTGTAACATTATGTATATATAGCTATTTGCTTACAAAAAAAGAAGGAATCTATAGAGTATTGTCAGTACTAAAGGTGAAACCAACCAATCTGGCTGGGGAAGTAGTGCTGCAGGCACCTAGCCAGCAGAGCACTGCCTGAGGAACAATGAAGCAAGTAGCTGTTACTAACACCAACATCCAAACTGCATTTCCCAGCAGTCCATCAGCAGTAATGACCCTTCCGAATTCCCAGTGAGTCAGCAACCCCAAGGCAATGCTCGGTAAGAGAGGTATCCCCCAGTTCCTCTCCAAGGCTACTCCCTTGTTACAGATTCATTTGCCACAGCTTTTGTTTCAACTCACCACTGCTGGGCTGCCAGTGAAAGGGATCTGGCTGGAAGAAGGGGCTGGAGGAGTCTCTGGGTGCAAGGACAGTGGGTGGTGCAAAGAACTGTATTTATGTGCCTGAGGACTGGAAACAGGAAACCTGTGACTGGATGTTCCTTCAAGCTGCCTTCTCCCTTCAAACACTGAACCTGTTAATAAAACACAAACAGAAAACCCAAGGTGAAGTCAGGCTGACTTAAAACCGGTTGGTGATGTTGCTACCCCTGTAAGGTCACCAAACCTGCCCCGGGGAACAGAGCGGAAAAAACGTCACCATTAGAGAACAAATGTACAACAGAAGTCTCAAGTGAAGCATCAACGCTCTGCAGCACTGAAAGATGCTAGCCCAAAAGTATTACTTTTGGTGGGCATTTCCAAAAATAAAGTGGAAGGTGAAGTAGAAGTTACAGCCATCAAGAACTGCACCTCTCAGTCCAAAATATAGCCACTTAAAAAAAATATCTTTCTTCACTGTCAAACTGGTCAGGCTGGTCCTATTTCTAATGATCACTCTGATGACGAACCACACTGATTTTAAGACAGATGTACCCTTCTCCATGAAGTTCTATATAACCGCAGCTTGATATGCTTTTTCTACATCAGTTAACTTGTTATTCTTTCTTCCATTTGCAACTGGCTTATTCCATGCTGAATAACACAAATGGAGCAGTCTTCCAAACCAATTGTGCCAAATTAGTCCACTATTCAAATCCTTCTTAAGGATCTAGCTCTGTGAGGCTCTTGGAGAGTTAAAAATATATGAAAAAATCATCCTACATTACTGCATCATCCATTAGAACACACTCTTCATGGCAGGTGTCTACACCCCCATACACGCTGCCCGTAAATAATAATAGTTTTTCTGTAGTCTTGTGGCTAAATAGTTGAAAAAAGGAAGGAGTTATAGAAAGATAAATCAGTTAAAAGTCAAACAGCTGCTGACCAGGTGATAGAATCTACACTGGTGTGTTATTCAAACATCCTCTAGTAGGTTACTCATATTCATTCAACACTAGCCACCTGCTTGTTCTACCTTCATTACATCCTGAGCTGATTATTGGAAGGATATCTCCAGAACACTTCTCTTCAAAACCAACATCCTTCCCCATTCAAAGCTAAGTAACCTCAGCTCAGGCTTATTAAACATCATTAAATCAAGTTGTAGCTCTGATTGTTAGGGCCAAACGCACAAGCTGAGGCTGCTGATGTACTTTCAGCATGGCAGTTGTTTTGAGGGGGGGGGTGTATGCGTGCTTGTTTTGTGGTGGGTTTTTGTTGTTGTTTTTAAATACTATCTGGTTTGTTCATGGTAGTTTGCATCAGCAACCACAGAACCTAAAAAGTATTCCAGATGCAGCAACTGTGTCCCCTAAGAATGTCAAGAACATGGCCAGCTTGCAGTCCGCACATTATGTTACTGTCAAAAAATGAATTTGGCTTAAAAACATGCCTTTTAAAGAAAGTCAAATGGAACACCAACCCTAGTTCATTTAAAAACTAGGATGTGTTTTAGCTGGGTTTCCCTCTTCCTGTCTTGAGTTGTCTGTCACTTAAACTACTGTAGACCATTTAAAAAAACCCCACAACTCTGATGGACCAATGAAAAAAAAAATTAGGCCTTCCAAAACAGCAAGAGCAGCATGCAACTGGAGCAGCAACTGCTATCACAGCAGAAAAAAAGATGCCAGAGTTTTGGCAGGCAAATACCAATCTACTCTGCTTTCAAATAAAGGTTCATAAAAGCTTCTTTTTGGGGTTGCTCATTCCCTTGAAAGAAACAGAGAATTGCAATATTTATTTATTTTGAATAAGTTAGCTGAGGCCAGTATTTCTGTGTCCTGCCAAGAGGTTCAGAATTTCTGTAGTCTGCAAGATGCTTGACTCAGTCACTTAGACATTACTATAGCACAGAGTTCAAATTATCTTCCACTGGAAGAAAGGGAGCCACTTCCTCCACTCCACCTTGACTGGTTGCCCTCAAGTACTGGTTAAAAGCCCACATTTAGTTTAACTTCAACTCAAATTCCATTTTGCTTAACTTACGGGAGGCATGCAGGAGCGACGGGTGTAGCTTTGGGAACGTGCTGTTAGTTGGATCTTGCTTCTTTCCAAAACGGGACATCTTCAGAGTCCTCAGTTCACGGCTCAGTAGTCTAGGCAATCCATCCTCTCTTAGTAAGGTTTCAAAGTGCAAGTGGAGAGGGTTGCCTGAAAGTAGGAAAACCAGATTATTTTGGTAAGCATAAAAGTTACCTCTTTTCACATACAGCACTGCATACACATCCTTAGCAATTCACACCTGTCAGTACTTCAGTAAACAAATGAAGTGACACAGGTAACTACAGTAAGCATGGTCGATTGCAGGCTCTCTCACCCCATGTATGCTGTGACAGAGTGAACAGGATGAGCATGTCCCCAAAAAGCAGCCTCTGCCCTGGCCCTCTGCAACCTGCCATGCTACAGCCAGAACCTGACACCTCGCCATTGAGCTTCTCACCCTTACGCTAACCTGAATCATATTCAGCTACGTATTACTTGTTTGCATCATTATTTAATGAGCAGAGGTGAGCTTGTACTTTGATTTTAATGATAAAAGTATTTTTGGAGAGATGCTCTCATAGTTGCACAGTAGAAAGTGTTTTCCTCACTGTCCCTTAACCTACTTAAAAACTCCTTAGTGCACATTCTTTCTCTTCCACGGTTAAAGGCACTAGCACTGCTGCAGCCACCATCATCATTTGTTTAAACAGAAACTAAATGTTAAGATTCCACAGAGCATAGTTCATAAAGCAACCACAGAGCACATCTAGAAGGCCACCAATGTTTAAACAACAGGAGCTTAGACTCAAAACAGTGATTTCACACTCAAAGCTGGTGCTCATCATCTACCAAACAACTGCCCCACAGCCTGTCAAAGTCACCATTAGATTGAGTCTTTCAAGTAGCCCTCCAGGACAGGGTTTTAACAGGAACTTACAATAGTTGTTCTGGCAGCCTCCAGAATTAGAACATTCCTTGCAGAAGACAGAGAGCTGATCCTGAAGAAGTGCCCTAAGCTTACATTAAAGTAGAGATAGCAACTGCCTCAGATGCAGGCCAAGACACAACGTGGTTTCCTAGGCTCAGAAATCTCTACGGGCTGCGTCCTGGGACTGAAGATGTGTGTCTGGTTACTATGCAGAACATCACTGGACATTTTTCGTTATCCTCTAGAAACACGCTTACAACTCTGTCAGCATATTTTTAACCACCCTGCATGTAAGGAGGAAGAGCAAGGAGGGCAGCGGCACAGCAAGGGATCCTCTTCCACATTATAACATGTGATCTACTCACCATGAGATAAAGAGAGTATGGGGTGGAAGCCAGAGTCCAGGAGGGCTACACGCTCTTCTAGGGACATGGTATCAGGGTCTATTGTCTGGACAGAGGCTTTGCAGCTACACAGGATGCAAGAGCTGGGCCATTCACAGCTGCACTTCACAGTGAGAGGTTTCAGTGGCTAGCAGAAGAAAGGAGATCAAACACTTTAAAAGGGAAACGTGCTTCAGATTTAAGTAAAACTGAAGTTGAGATCCAGTAACTCCAGTCTGCTTTCTACAGCTGCACTAGTTTCCATTCATTAAAAAAGCAAAAGCCAGGCAAGTTAACTGTAACCAAGCCACAGATCTGCAGGATGAAAAACAAAGACCCAGGATCAATGTTAAAACAGTGTGCAAGGGTACTATCACAGGCTGTTTCTCCTTCTGACCATGGATGAGCTACCTTATAAAAATAATTCAGTGTGTTAAGGAACACATTGTGTTATTCCTTACTAGTATTTCCAAGCCAACAGAGCTGCTCCTCTGCAACTCCAGCAAAGCCTAAACACTACTAAATATTAGTTATTTAGCTTAAATAAGTTTTAAACAGAATGAATGTCTTAGAGTCATAACGTTGTGAGATTCAGTATACAGTTTGTTTAGCATTACTTCGTGCAAGTAGCTAGATTTGCGGAAGCCTTAGGCTGCAATCTGTGAACTTTTGCCTAGATATGCTGCACTTTTACCTAGTTAAGCAAAAGAGGGCCTGCAGAGCCAGCACAAACCAGGAGACAGGGAGGCTGCAGCCACCAGCAGAAGCTGCAGCTCGGCAAGATTAGAACAGTTAACGGCCTGCCTGGAGACAGAGAAGGAATCCAATACGGTGTTAGAAGACCTCAGACCAGAAATCACCATTGGACCAAAAGGCACGCAAAGAGAGCATGAGGGGCGGGGGCATAGATTGTAAGGGTATAATTGCCCAGGGATTTCTTTGTTCGGGGTACCTCTCCAGAGGCACCCAGCTCAAGCTGTTTTCTTCTGGCTGTACCATCTGAATAAATTATTTTTTAAATAAAGTTTCAATGCCTGAGATTCTGCTACAGGAAACCTAGGGTTCAAACTGCAGGGATTATACCAGACACCTGTACGGCACAAATTACCTTATTATTTAATAATTTTCTTTTCAAAACAAACACCTTTGCACCTTTTCCCATCCTGTTCTTCCTTAAAGGCTTTTTGTAGCTCTGATGCTTCCAAAAGCCTTGATAAAAAAAACTGTTAGGCAAGCAATCCACCACCAGCAGCATCTATTACTCTGACCAGTATTGTCTTATTTTGCACTTTTCCTCACTTGCCTATTTGGAGTGTAAGCTGCTACCACAACAGCCCTGATGTCTTTGTTCCACCATTTTTCCCCACACTGTCGCTAAGACACACGCGGTGCCCCTTCCCCATCAATATATCAGGTTCTGCAGGATCAGTCAAACCAGAAGAGGGAGCATTAATAATGCTTTTACCTACAGCCTACGCAGACTGAATTCAATTGTACTGGCTTTGCACTCTAGTGAAACAAGAGATCAGACTGGGAAAAGTAACACAACTTATAAACTTTTTGTCTTAAATCTGCAGCTTGTTAAATACTTGTTACTTGTAAATCAATATTTGAGGAAAAGGCTACAAACAAGCAAATAAGATATAAGCAGTGTAACAAACCACCACTTGCCATCTGACAGATGTTACCACACACATTCTTTGTCAGAATTAATACATTAAACATCTTTTAAATCATCAGGTAACTCACAGCTAGGTGTCCAAGGAGCACTTAGTTCATCAGGCTTGGTAGCTCAGCCTTCAGACAACTACAACCCAGTTATACTTGCTCACACACCAGCTTGCCAAGTCTTAACTAAACTAAGGTTATATATTTCTGGGGTTTTATTTTTGGGTGGGTGGTGGGTTTTCTGTTGTGGTTTGGGATTGGGGTTTTTTTGGGGGTGGTGGTGGTTTATTTTTCCCTGGGCAATTCCAAGGTAATCAACTCCAACAGGTAATTACCAGAAGATTGTTGCCCATGCAAAAGTCTGAGGTACACTCTGGTCATTGTTACTCAAAAAAACCTGCTGCCTTATTTTTAAGAACAGAAATCTAGAATCAGTTTCTAAACCACAATTAGAGAACTCATTACTTTTTTGACATACCTAGGAATTTCTTCTAAAATTCTACATGAATTTTAGAGAAGTGCTCAGAAAACACTGTACTAAAAACCAGAGACCAACATTATGATAGTTTCTGCTAAAAATAAATAAAACCACACGTTCTAAATAAAAATGCAGCATAGCTTAGTAACCACATGGCAAAACTTTCACTTACCTTCCTGCTGAAGTGAGACACAGAGGTAGTTCGGACAAGCTTGCGCTTGTTGTATTTGCAAACTGGGCGGATTCTAGCAGCAATGCAGGTATTGTCCAACACAGAAACAAGGTTGTTAAGTGGGTTTGGTTTGCCAAATCTCTCTGCAACGTTCATGCTGATCAGAGAACTGCTGCTGGAGGAGCCAGTACGCCAACTGCAACCAAATGAAAAGCAACTCACTCAGAGCAAGAGTAGCAAGTTGTAATTCTGTATTTATTATTGCAGCTATGACGCCCAAAGGCTCCTTAGTATTTACATCAGCAGCTAGGGCTTACCAGTTTTGTTCTCATCACATTTTTAGTCTTTGCTACATTCTCTCTCAAGGGGTATGTAGATTTCAGAATATTTCATTCTCAACATAGAAATGGACACTGAAGGATCTTAACAGCTATATTTTCATCAGTTAAGGGTAGAAAGTCTTAAAGCCACTGCAGATGTGGTAGCCGCTACTAACACGTGCTCTTTTTCCAAAGACCTTCAGTCAGCAGCCCAATCTATCATCTGATAATAACAAGTAATTTACTTCCCATAAAAAAAGATAGCCATTAAACCTAAGAACATTGGCAAACATTCTTTCCATTTCTCTCTGTTCACCATGGAGTTATGGTTAAATCTACAGTTATATTTAAATATAAGCAGATACAAGTTTATTGTCTTTCAGTATATTCTTCTTCCGGAACCATCTGTAAAACATCGCCTTTGTAAAAGATATTCTCTTTTTGTAATTGGTCATGTGTTCATATTAGCAGTTTAAAACTTTATTTACCCATTACATTTGCTGGTCCCAATCAAGCGTGATAATTTTTTTCTTGGTTTGCATAGCAAATGTTCCAGTAAAATTAGAAGTTTAAAATCTGTATCTTTGTCACGTGAACCAGAAAGGTTCTAACTGGCTATTACAGCTCCTTGCTGAACTGCAGGACTGCCGGGCAGAAATCAACATCACCAGACATTGACCTGAGGTAGTGGTTGGTGACAAGTCTTTAGAACAAGAAAAAACCCAAGCCTCCTCGCCTGCCCATTCTTCATGAAATGACAAGTTGCTGATTTACATCCAAGTTAGATCACTCTATACTGTTGCCCATTTGTTTTCAGTTTATAAGCCAAATCCTATTCAGCTATAAACATATACACATGAGGAAACAAATCTGTAGAAAAGATGTGCTTAAAGAGACCCAAATTTCCCCAGTGACCTCCTCTTAACTGCACAAACCAGGAAGATAAAATTTCATGGACAAGTAAGAGGCAAAGTGCAAGTGAGAAATTATTCCACAAAAAATATATACTACTGACGTTCACAAGTAAAACCAAACTAGTTCTATATAACAGGGCATGATGAACCTCTGAAGTCTATACCAGATCTGCATGAGACTATTCTTTCCCAATGGCGTCATGCCTCCTGTTGCCCTACACAGAAAACACAGGTTTGCAGCAAAACTGGTATACATATTTTGGACCTGAACAATTCCAAACCACAGTAACTTCCACAGTAGATAGCTCAGGTAGTGGGACGAGGTTGCTGTAATGAGATGTCACTGCCCAAACCTGAAAGAACTTACTGCCTATGGGATCCAAACAGGCCACCTCACCTGAAAAGTGACTATTTAAGAAGATGTAACAGCCAGGAGGATTTGTCTTGGCCTCCAAAACCAGGCCACTGCCCTACACCTTATTGCCACTCTTGCTCCAGGTAAGCGGAACAACAAAGAAAGGAGAAAATCCTTGGCCAGAACCACAGTTACTGGGTTCATCTCCATCAAAAACCCGTACTCACTCAGTGTCTGCATCTGCCCTATTGTTATTTGTCAGACAAAGAAAATTAACTTGTAATGCTAGGGTTTTTTTAATTGTATAGCATTCCACACCTGAATAGCATAGGAAGTTACAGACATGGGTAATTTTATTTGCAATTTCTCCATATGTCTACTTAGTCTCACAAAATAGCCTTAGATTTCCACTGTGAAGTTTTAGTCAGGAGTATACCCAATGATCCTATAAAAGCTAGAGATAACCAGACTAGGAAAATCCAAGATATATTTTCAGTGTATCATAGACGACTTGGGGTATAAGTGTCTCAGTGACGTTTTGAAAGCTTAACTCTAGGTAATGCTTTTAAACTTGCATTCAAGTGTCCCAGACCTTGTAGTCTTTTAAGAGCATTCTAATGAAGTCTCACCAAAGCCTCCAAGGGGCTCTTGTGAATAAAAATTGAGATATTTCCATTACCTTGTGTGTTACACAGGAGGTTCAATGTATCAAAGTTGTATACAGAGAATTCCAGGGCTCTTACTCTACCGACTGCTGAATAAAGCTCTGTATTAAGAAAGTTTAAAAATACATGGCACAGCTTGTAAAAGTCCATGCTTTCAAATCTACACAAGATACAGTTTTCCTTCCAAGAGAGGCAGAAGCTTCAAAAGCCATTATTAGATTAATAGAAACAAGACAAGCAAGCTACTTCAGACAGTGTTTCCAACACAGAGGATGATTTAACTAAAAAATCTGAAGAGAGAAAATATTTAAATTTTGGGATCATGTTACATTGATCACTCCTAAATGAATAGATATAAGACAGATCATACTACACTGCACAGGAACTATCCACCGGAACTTATTTTTACAAGTTCCAAAATGGAAATCCTGATTCCGAGTATATGGTCAAAGACCTTTGGTTTCTTCCCTGAAAAGGTCCAAATGAATTCCTAGTATATGAATAATTCCAGTTTGGGTACTTAAGAGTTTCACACTTATCTTGGCATGTGAGCTGGATACAACCAAAGTTCTCAATTTTTCCAGAGTCTGCTTATTAGGGAACTGCCTCCCAACACAAGCACCCAGCCAATTCTACAGAAGAGTAAACAGCACTGAAAGAAGTCTTAAAAGCATTTAGGCACCAGAAGCAAACAGGGCCATTTCTTTAATATCTTAAGCACAGTCTCTTCAAGTTACACTACTCGTAACTCTTCAAGTTAACCTGAAGAAACTGTGCTTAAGATATAAGTGAAAACACCATGTAATGCTGCATTTGCAAAAACAGGCTACAGTGATGCATGGTAGCAAGTTTGAATTGACATAACCAGACCTAAACAAAAGAGCAAGGGTCTTGTTACACAGCAGAAGATGACAGGTCCAAGGACTAAGGTAGAACAGAAGGGTCCTAGCAATTATCCTACTGGTCTCTGGCTCCTGGTTTCACACCATGGCAATTGTTTCAGACAGAGCAGAGCAGCGGTTGTTCAACCTATTTGCAGCACAGCAATCTACCATCATTCTCGACAAAATCAGAACTTCACTGGCTCCAGCAGGTCAATTTAGAGATTCACATTCTTTCTAATAGGACTATTAATAACAGCCTGCCCTATAAGCAGACATGCATTGCTGATGAGGGAATATGGAGGTGCTCCTCCCAGGGGGCAAGTTCAAGCTGCTTCTACTTTTTCCTCTTCAGACCTTTCATAGAATTAGCTGTTAACCAGAGCCAGGCACTGGAGGCCTGGCAAGAGTTTGCATTATACAAAGAATAGTGACTACCTGGTATCCCTGCCATCCCAACTCTTCAGCCTTTTGGTTTTTCACAGGCAGAAACATGCACTACCAATTCAGTTTGTTTTATCAAGATTGGTAACTTATATATAATAAAGTATACAATGCCTTACTTGCAATGAAGAAGATTAATTGCAAAGGGAGCAAGCATAAGATTTCATGGCATACAGAAGCAGAAAATAGTATTTCAGCTGGGTTTAAGATCACTACATACTTCTTAACTCTTCAAGTATGAAAGAGACCCAATACACCACACTGCAAATAACTGTGGATTAAAATAGCCATTTAAACAGATTTAGACTTTTATAATTTGGTCTAATACTTCCAGAATCCTCTGGATTTCTACAATATAAGTCAAGGGAAAATGAGGTTTATTATCTGCAGAATTAGCCCAGAATAAAAGCACAACTACTAAAGTATCTACTTTCAGAAGATTACCGATCTTGAAGCTCAGGACTAATCTGCCAAGAATTTGTTAACCTATCAATCACTGCAGCAGAAACACAGAACTAAGTGTCTGCTTTGAATAATCCATACTTTCTGTTCCTTCATTCTACTGCAGTCCAATGAATTCTAGGCTGAAACTACCACTGTTAAAATGCAAGCTAGTTTTACTGAATGAATACAGCAAGAACAACCTTTACTGGAGCCATCGATGAAAGAAAAAAACCTGTTGCCTAAGCAAAACACAAGATGTTTTATTTCGTTAGGGAACACATCAGCCTGAAGCCTCTGCATGTTGTGATTACTCCAATTCCAAATCCCCAAGACTAAAGCTCAACCAATTGATTATAAGAGCATCAGGTACCTCAGGAGAAGGTGCTGATGATTTGCAAGAATGATCACGCTGGATCAGACCAAAGGTCCATCTTCCCATATTGCTCAGTATCCTGTGGAGCAGCTGGGATAAGAATGGGTAAGGAAAAAGGGATTCAGAGAAGACCTGGTGCTCATCGGGAGTTGTTGAAAGCCGTTCCACCCAGCATCAGCAGCCTGCCACTCAGATGGCACTGAGGAAGAACACAGCAACCCAGCGACACAGATGCTTCACATTGCCAGGCACATCCTGCCACAAGCAGGTAAGTCCAGGCCACCAAGTGCCAAGGTGCCTCTGAACACTGGGAGGGTGAAAGCAGCTCCCTGCTGTGCTAGTACGACATAGGCAAGCCGAGGCTTTGCACAGGACTGTCTGTGCTCGAACTGCTTGTTCTTCACACACCACAATGACAATAGCAAGATGTGGCCCAGGAGGATCTGCCTATATTAACAGAAGAACACCAGGTAGGTGGCTCTGCATGAAACAAAATGCAGTGGCTCTGAAGGGATGACTAGAAAATGAGTATAAGAATCAGGCAAGTACATATGATACATACCCTAGCGTTCTAAAGAGTCTCTCCCAGCACCTTTAGCTCAAACCACACTTAGCTTAGGTAGTCCCAGTGTATTTAGCAGCTTTCAGTGAATCTTTCTACCACACAGCAAAATGGAGACTGTATTCAGCTTTTTCAGGAGCTTCACAGAAAATGGAATGATGATGACGACTTTACAGAAAACATAAGGAAAACCCCACCAGAAATAAAAGTGGTAAGTACCCCAAACTTTACTCAATTTAATTAGCAACTTGCCATAAACTTGATGACATATTTGTTTGAAATGATGCAAACTACAACCTAATCGGTGCTATTCTGATGTTGAGACAGCTTGACTGAAACACAGGATGTCAAGGAACACTCAACAGTATGTATCTTCTGAGTGGGCTCCAACCTTTTCTCACTTTCAAACTTCAAAATTTTTTCCACTGAAGTGCCAACCTGCCTTCTTGGGTATTTATGCCTCCTTAAACTAAACTTGCTCATCTGTCTTTTGAAGATCCCTTAAAGTCTACAGGCATCCAGGACCACAGACTGAAAGCCTTCTCTCTAGATGTAAACGAAGTTGACAGGGGAAGGGGAAAACTCATGTGAGACCCTTCTTTGTAAGAGAAGGCTTGAAAGGCCACTGAGTTGCAGCGGTGTGCTTATGACAAAGAACTGAGAAAGCAGCATGCATCTGGTGAAGGAAAGGAACATTTTCTTCCTAAGACTTCAGCACAAGTTTCACAGTGTTATTGTCTGTACTGGGTTTACATCCCTCCCTCCTATCACTGCTTTATACAATTTATACAGGATCAGATACAATGAAGAGGAGAAGATTTTGGCTTTTTTTGGAAGAGGCACTAATTCCTCCCTCTCCCAAGAATAACATGGCAATAGGTAGAGAAATCTTTACAGAGGTGAAACACATGGGAAGGAAATAAGATGAAAAAAAACTCAAATGGAACAGCCTAAAAAGCCAAGAAGATACCACAAAGCTAGACATGAAAATGGACCAGTTGGAAGAACAGCATGGTAAATCATTGGGACAATCTGTGCATTTCACATACTTTTGAGGGAGCTTCTCTTAACTGATACATCCAGTACTCCATGGGATGAAAAGCTTATTCAGCAATTCTACAGACTAAAGTTTGCCTCTTGCTACGGAGCTTCTTGAAGACCACTGACTGCTTGCACAGGACATGTCCTCAAGTATTAAACCAAACTGAATGCTAGTTAAACACTGAACAAAAGGAAAGTTCCCAGTTTATTTAAAAATTACTGCCCCCCATCTCTCCCCAGGGTTTAACAAAAAATTGATCAATAATATGGTTTTTATTACAGATTCAAGGCTCCATAAAAATATGAAGACTTAAAAGGCTAAACTCAAGGTCTCTCTTCAACACCAACAAGACAGGTAAGATTGACTTCTCCATATATTGAAAATTAATAAGCAGAAAAATATGTTCTACATTCTACAGGAAAGACACTCAAAAAGCTCAGAAATCCACTCATTAAAAACAAAAATCAGGTCACCAGGATGCTGTACAGCATTCAGCCTTAATCCACACAGGCAAGGTACACTTTGGTCATCTGCGTATAAAAAGGAGGTAACATCTTCCAACAGGCTGCCTACAAGACAAGGCAACATCACCTATATATTTGGCAGTTTTGGGCATTTCAAGTACTTATTTCAAATTTTTACAACTGAACTGAACATACAGAAGTCTTCTAGCTAAAGTTCCCTTCTTAGCCACTATCACCAATGCCTTAAATATGAAATTACTTTGATCAACTTAAGAGGAGGAGAACTAACCAGTTAAACACTCTGTTGACTTGGCGGGGTGACGTGACACAGGCTCTGAGGGATGCTGAAGACCCACTGATGGGGGTGCAGGAAGGACTTTGACACACAGTCTTTCCCAAAGACTGTGTAAGATGAGAGGTCTGCAAGAGAAAAATGAAATCGCAAAGTCAGTAAAGCTTAATGAGATAATGACTCTGAAGGATGAGGGCAGAGAGGCAAAAAGCCCAGAAAGCCGAAAGAGTAATCTAAGGAGCATTCTGCAGTTATAACACCAAACTTAAATAGGCCCAATGTAAATAATCACATGCAATTTAATCAATCACATTTCAAGCAACAACCTCCAAATCAATCTAAGTTCATATTTTAAATGCATTCTTAACCATCACGAAGTATCACAGAACTTTTATTTCTCTGTTTTATAAGCTGGAGATTTTCAGAGCAAGACGGCCTACTTTTTGAGCTATTCTGCTTTTTCAACTAGACAAAAAGCTTATACTGTACCAAAAAATGTACTAAATGCTGTACTAATTTCATAGAAACTTTTCAACATTTTAATGAAATACTAATATTAAAGAATATTTGATGGTTCACACAATTATAAACTCACTGGACATGATTTTGAAGTATCAAAACCAAAATACTTTTTATTTCCACACCATTAAACCCCCATACTTTGTTTACTGTATGTGTATATCTGCAAAGATAAAAGAGCAACATAAGTAGTTTTCCCTCACACTGAGGTATCAATGTCACAGCTTTGTCAATCACTTTCCACAGACCTTGCACAGTAAATTAAGATTCACAGCAGATTTCTGTGGTGTTTGGGGTTTGGGTTTTTTTTGTCTTGTGGTTTTGTTTTGCTTTATTTCTGTTTAATTTTGGATGACTAAGCATACACAAAAGTACAAGAGGTTTTTTAAAAGCAAAAAGGTGAAGCAAGTTCAGTTATCACGTGTCAAATACGAAGAACTGGTAAACTGATATCAGCCGATAAATTACTATGAGAAAAAATAGCAAAAATGAGTTTAAAAAAAAACATTAAAATAGTATATTAAAACCAAGTTATTTGATGTGATTTATAAATTTGCTTCCATCAATCATACAGCTGTTGATTTAAGACTTGGTTTAATGAAAGTTTCTTTCTTCGCTTCTGTCACTGCAGAATTGTGTTTCTTGATTACTGACCTGCTTCTGCATATTAAACAGGAAGTGGGAGGGAATGCCGTCTTCTACAGGGCACCTTGGGATAGAAGATGAAGGCAAGAGCCACTTATTCTTTTTGGAGGTCACTAGTGACCTAGAACCCAGTTGGCCCTGCTTCTTCATTAGATCTCCAGGCTGCCAGTCACCACCAAGGACTACTGGGCCCTGGGGATAAAAAGCAACACTGAATTCCACTCATGGAAGCCACAGCACAACAAATATTTCTTAAGTATACTCTAAAAGGGAAAGAAACAACTTGAGTTACATTTCTATGGCAACTTCATTAATTCAAAATTTAAGTGTTCTCTGTAACCTAGAGAAAAGGAGTTTGTGCTGGTTTCAGCTGAGGTAGAGTTAACTTTCTTCATAGTAGCTAATATGGGGTATGTTTCTTCATAGTAGCTAATATGGGGTATAGTATTCATCCTATCTATTTCTACCATAATGCTTCTCAGATATTGAAGTGAAACATTAAAAGGTCATGGCCTGGAAGAAAAGCATAAAACTTGAAATCTCAGAACACCGTGTACACATGTGCTTTAAATGATAACACTTTCCAGCAGGCATTGAAGCTTAAATGGATTTGTGCTGGAAACAGCGTTGATAACTCAGGGATGTTTTAGTTACTGCTGAGTCAAGGCCTTTTCTGCCTTTTCTTTTCACACCACCCCACCAGCAAGTAGGCTGGGGGTGCACAAGTTGCACAAGAACTATCCTCTGCTACCAATACCATATTGCCAGCTGGGGTTAAACCACAACACAGTTTAAGGAGGAAACGTTACCAGGCCAACATCAATGCCATTTTTCCTAGAAGAGCTGTCCACAACCGTGGCTCATAATTAACATGCTGGTTTCAAGGTCCTCCATCTCTGCTCACAGCTACAGGAAGGTATAACTGAGATCAGCAAAAAGGAAATCAAGGCATGACAATGCCCACCGGACATTACTTGCTCAGTATTATTGGTCATGGACCAGCAGACATTGGTGACTGATATTGTAGACTAGACTATTCAGAGAACATAGACTAGAGTAACATGGCAGTAATCAATGAGTATTGCTCAAAAGATGACAATTGCCATGAAGAACACCATCCTCCCTTCAGATTATTTCATTTCCGTTCTTATAATGGGTCAGGAGAGCTGGCCACTCTGCAGTTCAGTTTCTCCTGCTCCAGTCACACATATATCCTTCATCCTTACCAGCGTGTGCCTTGTGGCACACGCACAATGCTCTAACACCAACTGATTTCTCTTGACAATCTTCTCTGTACTCAACAGTAGCCTGATAGTTTCTCACACCAGCAAAATGTCCCTTCAGTAAGAGATCAGTAGAAAGGAGCTGGAAATTTAACATTCCTTACAGGGAAATTTAATGTTGTTCACTGTGTAGTCTACACTTTATAGCACCTGTGGTATAATTACACACATACTTGTGAATGGAAGAAAATATTATGCAGAACAACTAACTTATTTCATGCATTTGCATTCATGTCTGTATAAACATCATAATTGCTTGAGAACAGTAACTGCTTTACAGTAAATTAAAAGATAATCATAAGCTAATCTAGTTAAAGAAATACTGAAATACAGCCAAGATAAATTCCAGTTACTCAGAAAATATTCAAAGCATCTAAAAAGTTAGTATTCTCCTTCATCTCATTGTGCTGCATTAGAGACTAATGTTATGAAAGTCTAGGGCCCTTAGGAATCATTATTTTCCATAGCATTAGAGTAGAATCAAAGAGCAATTTAGATCAGAAAGTAAACCTGGAGGTCATCTAGTCTAAGCCTCCACTCAAAGCAGGTCTGACTAACCCTCTCATTGGCAATCCTAGCCAAGAGCGCCAATAAATTAAGGCTTTCCTCACTCAAGATCTTGCAGGAGCACCTACAAAAGTGTACAAGGAGTAAGGCTATATAGGCGCTGCTCTTTACCCTTGCGAGACACACATTATACCCCAGTGGAACAATAAGCTTTAAATTTATCAAAAAAGTCATCCAACATGTTTGATTTATAAAAGCTGATGCAAAAGGAAAGGGCATTTATCCAGAGAAGATATACACATATGCAATGAGGACAATAATTAAAACAGTTTTCCTTCCAGACAAAGAGCAGGAGGAAGGAAGACACTCAAGCCAAGTAAAAATCCTCACAGTCTGCTTTTTTCCCCCCAAAGTCTAGGGAAATGAGCTTTGCTGTTTACACTGAAAGCCAAACAGATTAAAATCATTTCAAATCGGAACATGAGAGTAATTTCAAACATTCAGAAGCACCTTGAAAGAATCAACTCAAGTGTTTCCAGAGACTTTTGCAGTAGACTGAGAGGCTCTCAAAAGGGAAAACCCCAAAATGCATTTCAAGTTTTGAAGATGCAAAGCTTTGTTTAATTTTTTTCCAGGCAATCTAGTCACACAGAAGTAAATATAATTCCAGTCAAGAAATGAGTATTCATCCTATCTATTTCTACCATAATGCTTCTCAGATATTGAAGTGAAACATTAAAAGGTCATGGCCTGGAAGAAAAGCATAAAACTTGAAATCTCAGAACACCGTGTACACATGTGCTTTAAATGATAACACTTTCCAGCAGGCATTGAGGCTTAAAATATAAATGGTACCTGTGAGTACCTCTGATGGTACCCTAGCACTATGCCAGTTTAGAAACCAACACTTGGAAGGACCAACTTCATTGCTTATGCCACTGTGGAGCCCCATTCCATTACTGAACTGCTCTGCCTGGACAAAATGATGAAATGAACCCCCCTCCCTCTTACAGCAAGCTCTTACTATGATCTTTGTGAAGTAGACAGAAGTCGCAGCCCTCAAAAGATAAAGGTAACACCTACTGCTATAGGACTAACTCAAAAGCTCTCAGACTTTTCCCCCTCACCCTTGTTTCTACAGAGAAAATACCATTCTGCTAAAGAAACAGCCCATTAATAGCTTCCAGAGAACCTCCCAAGTCATAAAACAGAAGGCTAAAATTACCTTGGCAGCACGAAGTCGCTTGTAGATATCTGTCTGCTGTCTTATTCGATACTCCAGATCAGAGATTTGAGCCTGCAGCCACGTCCAACGGCAAATAATGGCTGCTCTCTCCATCGCCCACTGGCACTCTGCATGGCGATGTCTGAAAAGCAAAAGTTTGCTCATGCTTATCACTTAAGTAACAGTTTCAACACTACAAAAAATAATTTGACAGAAATTGAAGAACAATTTCACTATTAAGAAGCAATTAAGAGTTTGTGGGGGATATAGGACAAATTAGCTCCCCCCCCCCAAATTCTACCAATATCTAGCCTTAATTTACAACTCCTATCCCCAAGATAGAGTGGTCAATACAATTCAACTGTGCAACAAAATTTATTAAAAAGGAACAGGTATCATTATTTTGACTACCACAAACCAATGCAGGAGTCTAGCTCTTTCTTGGTAAGCGCAGAAACAACTTCTCTCCTCTGCAGATTTGGGGGTGGAAGTCACAAAAACAACTTCCCAAAGGGATGAAGTCCTAGCTTGTGCTGCTGACCACAGAGCAGGACTAACCTGTATTTGTGACACTCCTCAGAGCTGTTTGTCTAACGAGTTCTTAAAAACCTCTACTGACAGAAATCCCGTATGCCCTTCAGGAAGGTACCCCAGTGCTTCACCACCTCAGCTACAACATTTTTAGTCTATTGCTTGAATCTCTGCTGCTGTAACAGAAGACCATCACACCAGTGCCATGTAGAACACCCGATTTAAGACACCCACACACAGACAATACTTTCTTTATACTCAGAGTAAGTATTGTCTTCACTGAAAGTTACTGTTTGAATGAGGGTTTACCAAACAGTACCATACACTCTAGTGGGTTCAGCAGCCGATGTGCTGTGTTTAAGCATCAAGCACTGTGCAGTAACCTTACCACCCTCCCAAACAGCATCTCTGCTTGTCAGTCAGACCCTTCAGGCTACAGCCAGCCAAGCAATGACAACCCAGACTATGGCACTTTAAGGAGCTGTCATGCCTAGCACAAACAACAGCCTGTAGCACCTGCTATAACACTTGGCATGTGCATTATACCTATAGGGGAGAAAAAAAAGGCAGATAAGATCCCACATCTAACGAGCAGTTTGAATTTCTTTTGCTGAAACAGAAAAATCACCTTGCATAACAACAAGTTTTTTCATAATTTTAGTATTATAATTCCAGTTATACTGCTTACTAAACAGCCCCACAAACCACTATATCACCACGAACTGAAGCACACAAGCAGAGTTTATTGACAAGAGCTTTTCCACAGAGGGAACCATTTGATGCATGTACATTCTCGATCCACAATGGGGAGTTTTAATATGCAGTTCTGCATTCAGTGACCTAGGGCTCTGGGCAATTCTCAGTGGCAGCACTGTGGAGGGGAGAGCTGGCATCACAGCCATGGAATACATGACAAGGCATGCCTTTGTACGCTGCGTGGGATCCTACAGCAAGGTCGCTTTTATGGAATGAAAGTGTTGTTCTCTTTCAATATCTGCACCCACAAATAAATCTACAATCCTAAGACAACCTTGTGGCTCAAAGACTTCCTCAGAGTTTTATTTCTAAGCAAGTAGTCCAAGAAAGATTTCATAGCTCACAAACGCTAAATACACTTAGCATTTGATCTGAATTTACAGAGATGAAAAGAAGCACACACTCAAATAATCATAATATAAGCAAAATACAGCTACACAATAGTACTTTAATCACTTCAGAGTTGGAAACAATGGCTAATGCAAACACCACTTTACAAATGGAAGCTTGTGGAAGCTCTGGTGTACACTTTTGCTATCACCAGTAGTCTGCAAAAAACTTCAAAAGTTTTTTAGTGCGGGCAGGAATCTGCCTGCAAAAGAATAGGAATAAAAAATTTTCAAGTTCAATTTTCTGTTATTACTCAGGACCACTCGCTTCACTATCTGAAATAATTCAACTGAAACCTCTTACGGCCAACCCCATAGTGGGTTTTTTTTGCTCTCTTCGGAAAGCACATGACTTTACCTCAACAGTAAAATGGCTAAAGAACAAAGACCAGATAACGATTAGGGCTAAAACCACTTTTGAGAAATGTTAAGAGGCTCCTTTTCATCCGTGTGGGGAGTCTGCTGTATCTGCACAGGATCAGATGTGGCTACAGGTTAAGAACTCTAATTTTAATAAAGAAACACATCAAAGAATTATTTAGAGCAATATATCAAATCTAAGAACAGAGCACTGACTAAATGAAAAAAGTCAGATCTCTCAACGAAAAACTTTGTATTTTCTTTAAATTAAAGCTTCTAGAAACAATTGGGAATCAATGTGAGCAGAGAGATGAAACTCAGAAGGGGCCCCAAGCTAAGGATGCAGGCTCGAAGCAACTTCAAAGAGTCCAGTTAGCACATCAATAAATGAGAGTCTTCCGATTGACAAGTTCATGCCAAAGGGAAACCAAGCCACGATTTGACTGACCAAACACCTTGTAATTAGGCTTTTCCACAGGAAGCTTAGCTGATAGGCACTCCTGAAAACAGACCAACTTTTACTGATGCAAAGATGCTGTACATTCAAAGTACAGTTTACCATCCAGCCTCAAATCTGGTTTATTGCAGACATTTCCATTTAATTTAGTTTTTGAATACTACCATCTTCCTCTTCCAAAGATCAGGGTGTTGTGGTTGTTTTTTTTTTTCTCCTCCATACTACAGCAAGAGCATGTTGTTTCAAATGGAGCATCTAATCTTTTCTCTCAGTCTTCAAATAGGGCAACACGACATTCAGAAATTAAGGTGAACAGGCCTACTTTACTAGATAAAAACAAGCACTGTTCAAAAGCAGCTAGTAAAAAAAGCTTAAAAGTAATTCTGAGCTAAAGACATCTAAAAAGAAATTAAATAATAGGAAAGAGTTTTCGGCTACAATTCCATTTGGAATTGGAGAACCGCCAGAACTCCTTCCAACTCCACTCTGATTAAACGAAATTATAGCTGATAACAGGGAGGGGCAATAGAAGATGTTAGTGTCCTGGAAATTATTCAGCCTGAGAGACCACCGCATCAGCTGGTAACACAGAGCCATAGAAAGATGAAAGGCAAATTGAATGCTGCCTCAGAATTGCTACTTTAGCTTAAGAATTCATAAAGGTACCAGTATATAGTGTAATACAAAAACCTGTTCTAATCAATTGCAACTGTCTGTGTCTGTGGAAGTCTTGATTTTTTAGGGCTGGGTAAAGCGTCTCACATATTACATGTTAGATGACTACACTTTAACATAGAGGAAGAACAAGGGAGGCAAATGTGTGACTCATACCAGGTTGCCTGCTTGGCTTGCAGTCTTAATTTTTCTTCCTAAAGAGCATGGTATACTAGCTTTACTTGCATTTTCCATTCAAATCTTTAAGATATGAGTTAATCTTTCCCAATTACTCAAGAGTTAACTGCAACAAATTCAGTACACCAATGAATTCTTTATATGCACCTTACTGAATCTCTCAAATACAGGCAAGTCCCCAGAAGACCCAAACAAAAATAGTGTGATGCAATTAGAGTTTTAAAACCAAGTGCTTTTCAGATTCTAGTTGTACAGAAAATTAAGAAAATCCCTGTAATGTGAAAAGGAGTCTATCTGTGACAATAGCAAATTATTAGTACCAAATTGCTCTTGGGGAAAGTCAGAAAACAAATTAGATCAGATATCAAGCATTCTGAAAAAATGCAAGACAATCTGTGGGAGCATTCATACGGATAATTAGCTAAATTTCTAGTACATTTACTACCACCATTATGCAATTGTCACAAACAAGCACATTAGTATTTTTGACATATCACAGCTTCCCACAGCCTTGATAATAATTGCTGTACTTTAGTACTAAATCAATTAAAGCTTGGATAACTGTCAGGTTTTTTTCTTTCTCTCCCTAGAGAAAGGGTAGCAAACACACAGGTACTGAAATAGGTCACGCAGAAATTGAGTTTGATTAAACTGACATAAGGTAAGTGACACAGTACAGACCCACTATTTAATAGCATGCAGGAGAATCCATTTTCCAGGGGATTAACAGGCAGTACATTCTAGGGTATTACATGAGAAGAAAAACAGAAACTGCAAACAAATGCATGAATAAAATGGCTTATCTCATACTTTTAAATCAAGGTAGCAAGCTTCCCCATTTTATGCATATATAGTTCAATGGAGTTTATGACTTGAACACGGGACATTGTAGCTGCTAACAGTGTAATGTCTGTCAGAGACACCACTGGCAGATCTAATCAGCAACATCTTCTGCACACCCACCTCACTAGAGCAAAGCTCTGGCAGTAAGTCAGCACTGGTTTTGGCCACAGACAGTGCTCCCTGAAGGTAACCACTCAGGGTTACAGCAGAAAAAAAACAAGATCACCAACACATATGCACAGAAAATGCATAAAATCAATTTTAAGCAAACTTACAAAAACCTTGTTTATAGACAAATACCTCTACAGCCTCCCACAGGACAAACCACACAGTACTAACATTTACCTGACCAGGTGTGGCAGGTTGACTCTGGTTTAACACCAGGTGCCCACCAAAGCCATTCTATCACTCCCCCCTCCTCAGCTGGACAGGGGAGAGAAAAAAATAACAAAGGGCTCGTGGGTCAAGATAAGGACAGGAGAGATCACTCGCCAATTACAATCACAGGCAAAACAGACTCAACTTGGGGAAAATTAACTCAATTTATTACAAATCAACCAGATTAGGGTAATGAGAAATAAACCCAAATCTCAGAACACCCCTCCACCCCTCCCTTCTTCCCAGGCACAACTTCACTCCCAAATTCTCTACCTACACCCCCACAGCAGTGCAGGGGGACAGGGAATGGGGTTTATGGTCAGTTCATCACACATTATTTCTGCTGCTTCATCCTCCTCAGGGGCAGGACTCATCACATTCTTCCCCTGCTCCAGCATGGGGTCCCCTCCCACAGGAGGCAGTCCTCCACAAACTTCTCCAACATGGGTCCTTCCCATGGGCTGCAGTTCTTCACAAACTGCTCCAACATCGGTCCTTTCCATGGCGTGCAGTCCTTCAGGAGCACACTGCTCCAGCGTGGGTCCCCCATGGGGTCACAAGTCCTGCCAGAAAACC